TATAGTGAATGTTTATGTATTCTGAAATGTGAGGTATTTCAGGGTACTAGGGTGTGCATTGACCACTGTAGTGCCTCTTGGTATTGAGGGCAAAGTTACAGGAATCTTTGTCTCTCATGTCTCTTGCTAGTCGTCATCTTTGTGCACAACTCAGCCCTTTAGAAGTCTAATCCCTTTTGGACAGCAAAAGCTCAAACTAATGCCCCAAAAGATCCTTGACTATTCTACCCTTCTCCTGGGTTCCGTCTCTTACTGTGAAGTCTTCTCTGAGGGGCCAGTGCTCAAGGCCAAAACTGTCCCCTTGAGGCAGACAAGGAAGGTAAAGTAAGTATCTCTTTGAGGAGTCTTCTCTTGCTGACTTTGGCTTAGGCCTCTTTAGAAGAGTCTCTGTGATTCCTCCCTTCAGATTGTACTCTCTCTCCTTCTATGAGGCAAGTGTTCCTTAAAGTATTACCTGATGCCTTCCAGTTTTGCCCCTGAGGGTGGGAAGCAACTAATTAGGTGATCTGTTGTATTTGTATGTAACTAGTTGACTATTTACCCCTCTCTAGTTCAGTGGAGTTTCAATACCTTACTGAGGGCACAATCCCAGAGAAGGCCTTTTGAGACACCAGACATTGCTGCCACTTTTCAAGAGAAAGAGGGAAAAGATAAAACATTCTTTTTATTTTAAGATGATTGAATTTTTTTTTACTAGCTTATATGTATAAACAAGGTCTGAGAGTAGGTAAAGGGTTTTATATTAAAACAGGTCCTGAAAGACTCTCTGTGAATGTAGAGTTAGTAGGATTTTGGTAGCATGAGTACCAAGGAAGTAGAACTTGAGGAGATCGGGGAAGGAAGTTGAAATTAAACAACAATGTCACAAAAATGCCTGACAAAGTATGAAAAGTAATTACTAAATACTTAACACCATTTTTTGCTCAGTTAAGTGATAGGATTGCTATATTTGTTCAAATTCTTCTAGGAGTCTTTCAGCAAATCAAGGGAAGGCAGTGATTTAATACTCCTGATATTTATCATGTTAAAAAACATATGATGCATAAACAATTTTTATTTTAAGAAGCAACAAAATAAACCCCTCATTCCAGCTTTGAAAAACAAAAACTTGATAATTGAAGAAACAAATGTAATTCTCCTATCTGTTCAGTATCGAGATGGATGAGAATTATAGGGAAGAAATAATGTTTCCAGCAAACTAATTTTAACTTCTCTCAAGGAATTTAAAAAGCTGAATTTAACTCCTAGAGCTGGGTTCAGATATTCTATCTTTTTGTTAAAGGAATAGTGATAACCAAAAGTCTGTGTTGTAGGAAAAGAGTATGGAACATTGGGATACCGGTATCTCAATGTATTCCGGATTTATGAAGAGTATTGACTTAAATTTGCAACAATTTAGTTAATACTGGATGTTCTCAGCATAGATCAAGGAAGACTGACTAGCTATTTTCCAGATCAGTTCTTTCTCTGAAAACTTTGATTTGAAATGAATTTCTTAAGATCATATTAATGTTGTTTTTTGCTGTAAAGACATAGTCTATTATGATTACTTCTGCTTGCAGCCACATCAGAAAAATGGCAACACAACTGGTGACTTCACAGATGTCATCAATAGTGTCACATAATAATCTAGCTGGTCAGCAATATACATCATCTGTAAGTAACTGCACTGTATACCATTGACTTTTCCTCACAGTTGTTACAAAGCCTTGCAATGTGCAATAAACAGCTTTGTTCAACCTTTTATCTAAAACTTGTGAGTGCTTTAGGATTCTCTTACCCTTTGTGACTGCTTTTTGTTTGATTGAAGTGTGGTGGATTGGCTTGTGCTTTTCTGTATTGTTTATAGGTGAAATGATCTTAACTGGATTTATTGCCCGGGAAAAATACTGTCTGGGAGGTAGTCAAGAAAAACACATCAGTTAATCATATGACTGTTAGCCCATATGTAATCCAGGACTTTCATGTCTTACAACAGTAACAGGGTCATAAATCATGTTTTTTTTTCCACTTTATTTTCATCTATTATCTTTTTTCATTACATCTTACTTTTGTTCCAGCAGCCTTACAGTGAAAGTTCTAATTCTGTTATCTCAGCCCCAAACAGATGCTGTACTTCCATCACGCAAAAAAAAGGCTCCACACGAGACTTCTGTGAGAGAAAGGCTTTTCATAGTGTTTTATCCTCATCCCTTACCTGTAAATGTGTTGGAGGATGTATTCTGGTAAGTATCATTTAGTGATTAAAATAACTTCAATAGTAGTTGAAGCCCACAGCAAGTGACATGATCAATAAAACAGTAAAAGTCATCTGGAGCAGATGGTATTCAACCAAAGATTCAGAAGGAATTCAGTTACGAAATTTCCCAGAACCATAGAACTGGAAGAGACCTCAAGAGGTCATCGAGTCCAGTCCCCTGCTCTCACATCAGGACTAAGCACTGTCGCCTAGACCAGTGTTTCTGAAAATGTACCATGGAAACACTTTCAGAAACACTGTAACTGGCCTGCCCCAGTTTATTTATGTACTGGTGCCACAGCCACGGAGCCTCATGCCGCTCATTGGCTCCATTTCGTCATTGCAGCCAAGGGGAGCCGCGGGAAGCGGCGTGGGCCGGGCCACCACTTCCCGCGGTTTCCCTTGGCTGCAAAGGACGAAAAGGAGCCAATGGGCACTGCGAGGCTCCGTGGCCACGGCACCAGTACATAAACAAACCGGGTTGGCCAGCTAAAGTATTTCTGAAAGTGTTTCCATGGTACACTTTCAGAAACTCTGGTCTAGATCACCCTTAGCAAGTGTCTGTCTAATCTGCTCTTAAAATATTTCCAGTGATGGAGATTCTACAATCCCCATAGGCAATTTATTCCAGTATTTAACCACCCTGACAATTAGGAAGTTTTTCCTGATGTCCAACCCAAACCTCCGTTGATGCAATTTAAGCCCATAGCCTCTTATCCTCAGAGACCAAGGAGAACATTTTTTTCTCCCTCCTCTTTGTAACACCCTCTTTGATTCTTGAAAACTGCCATCATGTCCCCTCTCAGTCTTCTCCTTTCCAAAATAAACAAGCCCAGTTCTTTCAGTCTTCTCTCATAGGTCATGTTTTCTAGACCTTTAATCATTTTTGTTGCTCTTCTCTGTACCTTCTCCAGTTTCTCCATATCTTTCTTGAAATCTGCTCAGAACTGGACACAAGACTCCAGATGAGGCCTCATAAGCACAGGGTAGAGTGGAAGAATGACTTCTCGAGTATTGCTCACAACTCTCCTGCTAATGCATCCCAGAATCATATTTGCTTTTTTTGCAACAGTGTCACACTATTGACTCATGTTTATCTTGTTGTCCATGACCCCTAAAACGCTTTCAAGAGTATTCCTTCCTAAACAATCATTTCCCATTCTGTATATGTGAAAGTGATTATTCCTTCCTTAAATGGAGTTCTTTGCATTTGTCCTTATTAAACTGCATCCTGTTTACCTCAGACCCTTTCTCTAATTTGTCCAGATCATTTTGAATTTTGACCCTATTCTCCAAAGCAGTTGCAACTCCTGCCAGCTTGGTATCATGTGCAAACTTAATAATCATACTCTCTAAGCCATCATCTAAATCATTGATGAATATATTGAATAGAACCAGTCCCAAAACAAACCCCTGCGGAACCTCACATGTTATGCCCTTCAAGCATGATTGTGAACCATTAATAAGTACTCTCTGAGAATGGTTGTCCAGCCAGTTATGCACCCACCTTATAGTAGCCCCATCTAAGTTGCATTTCCCTGTTTTATTGATAAGGTCATGCGAGACCATGTCAAATGCCTTACTAAAGTTTAGGTATACCACGTTTACTGTTCCTATCAAAGAAAGCTATCAGATTGGTTTGACATGACTTATTCTTTATACTTATCACTTTATTGTCTTTCAGATGTTTGCAGGTGTATTCCTTAATTACTTTCTCCACTGTCTTCCTCTGGCTTGTTCTTATTTCCCTTTTTATAAATGAGCACTGTATTTGCCCTTTTGGAATCTTCTGGAATCTCTCCTCACTTGCATGATTTTTCAAAGATAATAGCTAAAGGCTCAGATACTTCTTCTATCAGCTTCTTGAGTATTCTAGGATGCATTTCATCAGGCCCTAGTGACTTGCAGACTTCTAACTTTTCTAAGTAATTTTTAACTTGTTCTTTTGTTTTAACTTCTAAACCTACCCCATTTCCACTAGCATTCTCTAAGTTAGGCATCCTGTCACCATCCATCTTCTTGATGAAAACTGAAACAAAGAAATCATTAAGCACCTTTATAGATGGTATTCAACCAAAGATTCAGAAAGAATTCAGTTATGAAATTTCAGAACTGCTAACTGTGATACAAAGCTTCAGAGGGGTAGCCGAGTTAGTCTGTAACAAGAAAAACTTAAAAACCAACAAATAGACTATTAACAAAATAGTAGATGGTATTGTGAGCTTTCGTGGGCACAACCTTTTCTTCAGTATTAGAAGTAGTGTAGTGTGCGAGCCAGCCGATGTCCTTGTTCATACCATTTGCATAAGAATTAAACTTATTTAAATAAAAGAATTTGCATAAGAATTACAAGTTTAATTCTCATGCAAATGATATGAACAAGGATATTGGCTGGCTTGCACATTCCCTTCCACATCCTATGACCAGGACTGGCCCAAGCCATTTTGGTGCCCCGGGCTCCAGGTGCGCAGCGCCGCCCCTGGGACGCACGGACCGGCCTCTGGGCGCATGGCGCATGCACAGCCCCGCCCCCGGGATGCACAGCTCCACCTCCAAGCGCATGATGCATGCATGGGCCCGCTCCGGGGGTGCGTGGGCGGATGCATGGCGTATGCGCTGCCCAGTCGGCCTGGCCACTGCCGATGGCGCGCAGCCCAGAGTGGGCTGTGCCTTGCCGTGCAGGGCACTGCGGCCATGGGGGGAAGGGCACTGCTGGCCGGTGCTGCATGGGTTAACACGGCCCCCGCCCCGGGCGGCTGCTGCAGCCTGCCGGGAGCTAGGCGCCCCCCTGTAGGTGAGAGCTGGGCGCCCCCCTGTAGGTGGGAGCTGGGCGCCCCCTGTAGGTTGGCGCCCTGGGCAGCTGCCCAGCTAGCCCACCCCTTAGTCTGGTCCTGCCTGTCACTTACCCTACCAACCAAACAATGGAGGTGCTAATTGTTCTTATCAGCCTGTTGTAACTATTTGAATCATCTACTCACTGTCTCTCTTTATTTTTTTCTCCTTTCCCTCTCCTTTTTTCTTTTTTTCTTTTTTCCTCCTCCCTCGCCCCCCTTCCCTTATTTATTCTTGGATCTGGACTTCTAATGCTTCTGTCATCTGAAGAAGTGGGTTGCGCCCATGAATGCTCATACCATCTGCATGTTTTGTTAGACTAGTAGCACCTTAAAGACTATTTGTTGTTTTAACTGTGATATGTAAGTGTCACTTAAATCAGCCACTGTATCAGGTGATAGGAGAATAGTTAATATAACAGGTGATAGGAGAATAGTTAATATAACATCAATTATTTTTAAAAAGATTCCAGCAGTGACCCTGGCAGTTACAAGCTGGAAAGCCTAACTTTAGTACCATGCAAATTGATTGAAACTAAGGAACAGAATTATCAGACACATAGGTGAACAAGATTTGTTGGCTAAGAGTCAACACAGCTTTTTAAAAGGGAAATCATGCCTCACTAATCTTTTTAGAATTGTTTGAGTGGAGTCAACAGACCCGCTTGATCCATTTGATGTAGTATAATTGGACTGTCAGAAAACTTTGTACAAAGTCCTTCTCAAAAACTTTTACACAAAGTAAGCAATCATGGGATAGGGGAGCATCCTCTTGAATAAAAAAAACTTGTTAAAAGACAGGAAACAACGTGTCAGAAGAAATGACCAGTTTTCACAGTTTGGAGGTTGCCCAAGGGATCTGTACTGGGGCCAGTACTGCTCAGCATATTCATGAATGACCTGGAACAGTGGGTAAAATAAGTGGCAAAGTTTACAGATGATACAAAATGAATCAAGATAGTTAAAGCCAAAGCAGGTACAGAAGTGTTACAAATAGATCTTACAGAACTGGGTAGTTGGGCAAGAAAACGGTAGATGAAATTCAATATTGATTTTATGTACATTGGAAAACATGTGTGTAATGGATTCTTTCTTCTTAAGTGGAGTATTTTGTATTTGTCCTTATTAAATTTTATCCTATTTACCGCAGACATTTTTTCCAATTTGTCCAAATGATTTTGAATTTTCATCCTATGCTCCAAAGGACTTGCAATTCCTCTCAGCTTGATATCATCTGCAAACTTTATAAGGATACTCTTTATGCGATTATCTAAATTATTTATGTAAATCATGAAGATCCCACTCATTCTGCCCTTCCAGCATGACTAAGAACCATTGATAACTACTCTCTTGGAATGGTTTTCTATCCAGTTATGTATCCATCTAATAGTAGCTCCATCTAAGATGTATTACCCTAGTTTAATGAGAAGGTCATATAAAACTATCAAAAGCTTTACTAAAATCTAGATATGCTACATCTACCGCTTCCTCCCCCATCCAAAAGGCTCATTACTCTGTCAAAAAAGCTATCAGGTTTGTTTGACAAGACTGGTCTTTTCTTTGCTGACTATGACTTACCTTCTTACCTTCCAGATGTTTGCAAATTTAATCCTTAACTTCTATACCAGGAATGATAATTAAGATGATTGGTCTGTAATTTCTTGGGTTGCCCTTTTTACAGATGGGCACTATATATGCCCCGTTCCAGTGTTCTGGAATCTCTCTAGTCTTCCATGACTTTTCAAAGATAATAGCCAATGGCTTGGATATCTCCTCAGTCAGCTCCTTGAGTGTTCTAGCTAGTGACTTGAAGATATCTAACTTGTCTAACTTGAACTTTCCCTATTTTAGCTTTTGAATCTTCCCCATTTTCACTGGCATTCACTATTTTAGGTGTCTAATCACCACCAGTCTTCTTGGTGAAAATTGAAACGAAGTAATTAAACATGCCTCCCACGTCCACATTGTCTGTTATTGTTTCTCCCTCTTCATTGAGTAATGGGCGTACCCTGTGCTTGGTCTTCCTCTTGCTTCTTAAAATATATCTGTAGAATGTTTTCTTGCTACCCTTTATATCTCTAGCTAGATTGAACTCGTTTTGTGCCTTGGCCTTTTTAATTTTGCCCCTAAATACTTGTGTTATTTATTTATAGTCATTCTTTGTAGTTTGACCTAGTTTCCATTTTTTATAGGATTTTTTTTTTCCTTAACCAGGAGATCTTGATTGATCTAAATCAGAGCTCTTGCTATATTGTTTATCTTTCATACACAGTGGAATAAATTGTTTTTGTGTTCTTCATGTCTTTTTGAAAAACTACTGTTTTTCCTCTTAGACTTGCTTTCCATGGGCTCTTACCAACCCACTCCATGAGTTTGCTAATATCTGCCTTCTTGAAATCCATTGTCTTTTTAATTTGCTATTTTTCCTCCCATTTCTTAGAATCATTAAATGCATTATTTCATGAACAGTGTCACCCAAGCTGCCTAACACTTTCAGATTTTCCTCCCTGTTGGTCAAAATCAAGTCTAGAGAGGCTCTCCCCTTGTAGCATTCTCTAGCTTCTGGAATAAAAAATAAATACCATAATGCCACTATATAGATCCAAGATATACCCACACCTTGAATACCATGTGCTCTTTTGATTGCGCCAGCTCAAAAAAGATACCTTAGAATTTTTGAAGCTGAAAAGAAGGTCAATAAAAATTATTAGGGGTATTAAACAGTTCCCATATGAGAGAAGATTAAAAAGACTGGGAATTTTCAGGTGGAGGGGGGGAAAGAGGACTGTTGGGATTAAGGATGTTAAATATCGTGTAATTTACTAATCAAATAGTCAACGCATTTTGGCTGTTGCTATACTTCAAAGGCGAAAGCACCACATAGAGCCTGGGGTCAGCTGGGGATTCAGCTGATCTTGGGCTCCACATGGTGCTGCCACTTTGAAATGCCATGAGAAGTCTAATGCCGGGCTCCCTGCAGCATTTCAAAGTGGCAGCGCTGCACGGAGGTTGGGATCAACTGGGGAGTTCCTAGCTGATCCTTTGCTCCATGCAGCACTGCCACTTTGAAATGCTGCATGCAGCCTGAGGACACCCCAGCTAGCCCCAGGCTACACACAGCTTTTCAAAGTGGCAGCACCTCGTGGAGCCTGGGGTCTGGCCTCAGGCTTCAAGCAGCACTGCCACTTTGCAGTTCCCCTACTTCCCCCCCTTGCTGCAAGGGTGGGGGAGTGACCTGTCAACAATCTAATAAGCATTTGGGATATGATAGAGGCCTATTAAATTCTTGAAGGGTGTGGAGAAAGTGAATAAAAGTGTTTACTGCTTCACATAACACAAGAACCATGGGCCATCCAATGAAATTAATAAGCAGCAGGTTTAAAAGACAAGAAGTACAACTTCTTAGAGAGCACAGTCAACCTGTAGCACACATTGCCAGGGAAGGTTGTGAAGACCAAAACTATAATGGGGGGGGGAATCAATAAAGAACTAGATAAGTTAATGAAGAATATGACCAACAGCAATTAGCCAGGATGGTCGGGGTGAAACCTCATCCTTTAAGAGTTACTAGCCTCTGATTGCCAGATGCTGGGACTGTATGACAGGGGATTGTTCACTTTTATAATTGCCCTATTCTGTTAATTCCTCAAGCATGTGGCATTAGCTACTGTAGGAAGATAGGTGGCAAAGTTTCCAGATGATACAAAATTACTCAAGATATTTAAGTCCATTGGTCTGATCCACTATGGACTTTATGCTTAATAAATTATGGTCCATTTCCAAATATCAGTATTGTGTTACCAGCTATTGAACCTGATGTGTAGGTAACCCTGGAGTCAAGTTATCAGTTTTATACACTTTATTTGCAGAAAGCTTGAGTACTTTGTTCTTAATGGTATCACATATCTATTTCAGCTTGTAATTTAACTGCTTTTTATTTGAGAAAACTTCATAACCTTGTAGGCTCAGGAAGTTGCTTCTGGTATAATTGAAATCTGACATGAAGTAATGTAATCTTGTGTGTGCTACTGGCCTGCTTCCAAAAGTAATTTGACCGTAACCAACATATTAGTATCAAAGACTTGAGAGACAATTTTTGCCCATTTCACCTTTTTAAAAATTTATTTTAGAATTATTCTATCAACTTTGTTGGATTATTTTGTGCGTATTGAGGGACATGTCAACATTCCCCCATTCTGATATCTATCAGCTATATTGGTGTAACTGAGGGACAGCTCTTTTAAAAAGTCACACCACTTTTAAAACCGCTAAGCTCAATTCCAATTTGTGTGGAATTTGAAAAATACCTACATGGGCTACTGAACTGCCTTAGAGGCTGAAGGAAAAGGGAGCTATTCTTTGTCTATTTTGCATCCTACGTTACAAGTTGGCACACTTGTATGTATTTTATGTATCTTTTTTTTCCGCCTTTATGTCTGAACCTCTGCCTTAGAGCCTTCAGGTGACAGGAGAACAGGCACCAAAGAAAGGAAATCTTGATCGCTATATGGTGTGGACGTGCATTTAATATATGGTAGTCCTGACAAACCAATTCTTATAGAACATCAGTTTCTCAAGACTACCATATACTAAGTGGCACTTCCACACTATATAATGATCATGATGTCGGTCAGATTTCCTTTTATTGGTGTTTTGTTATTTTAATGTTGGGTAAAGCATTCATATAGTGTGATCTTTATTTATTTATTTATTTTTGTAATTGTGGATGTGCTTAGAGGGTGTGGCCTAACAGTTTTTTTTTAACTTCTTTCAGCATCTGTGAGGAATATTACAAAGGAGGAAAAGTACATGTGGGGGAAAGATAGCATAAAATCAGATATTACACGTATAAGAATAAAACTTATTGACAATGTCAAATTATCTTGCAGAAGATGCTGAATTGGTAGGCTGCAGTGCTTCAGCTGCCTTTACAAGTTGTAAATATTTTGCAACTTATCTTTTTTTTTTTTTTTTTTTTTAAAGTCGGTTTGGACATCTTATAGAAGTTTACCTGGTAACAGGAAAAAACGTGGGATATGCGAAGTTTGCAGACAGAACAAGTGCCAGTGATGCCATAACTGCATTACATGGCAAGACGGTGAATGGTGTCAGGCTTAAAGTAATGTTGGCAGATTCACCTGCAGAAGAATCTAACAAACGTCAAAGAACTTATTGACTCGGTGGGTAAGTACTCCATCTGGATGTAAACTAAATTTCATGTAGTTTAAATAGTAAGTCCCCTGTTATTCTTTGGGAGCAGCATTTCAGTTATAACCTCAGTTATTAAGGAATTAATAACTTACGTGTAAAAACTTGCTTCATGATAAATTTGGAATGTAAGATCTTTGCCCAAAAGCATATTTTTAATTTTTAATAGATATTTTAAATAAAACTTTAAAAAAAAAACACAGTTGATCAATATCAGTCTGGACAACCATATGAAATGATTCACTTTATGTACTTAAAATGTACCAGTGCAAGACATTAAGAGGGGAAAAATATAGAAAAATAAAGGATATGATTGAGATCAGTCTCTGTATCGTTCTTTCATTAAAGAACATCATCTGTCACAATGGTAGTAGGTAAGGACAAAGATCTGAGGACTGAGAAAAGAGAAGAAATGGAGAAAAAGATGTAAATAAAGTGGATCTTAGAAGGAAAGAAATCAAGTGAAAACCCTAAGGTTTTGTAGATTTGGGCTATTTAGGGGAACTCCATATATTTCCCAGAAAAGGGAGAATGAAAGACTTTAAAAGTGCCTGATTGACTTAGGACTTGTGCCATATTGAAAATTGATGCAACTTGTGCTTCAAAGTTATTTGGGCATTTTTTTGAAAATCCTACCCATTAGGTTGTGTTTGTTTCTGTTGGTAAGGAATTTCTCCATATGTGAAGACCAAAATTGAGTGTGGTCCACTATCATTTGGTGTGATACATAAATAAGATAAAGGTTATGAAGGCACTCCCCGCTTCCTGTAATATTCTTCTTTCCTCCATTTCTCCTGCAATTCCATCTTTGTTTGTAGTATTTCACATGCATAAGAAATGGCTCAGATCTCCTGGATGAGTTTGCTGGGATACAAGTTTGAACAAAATATCTTTTTATTTATAAACTCAGCCATCTTGGACATGGAATCAGCAAAGAATCATGGAATTCCATAATCCTATTTTTAGTCACTTACTAAAATCACATTTGAGAGGCAAAAATATATTCCAGAGTCAAATAAAAATTTGTAAGTTTTGCATGGGCCTATTAACATTAACTGCAGCCAGGCTTCAGAAAGTAGTTTTTCCTTATCTTGCATATTTTTCATGCTATATTAGAAGACTTTCTACTGTACTGTACGGTTTACGTTAACATGACTGGCCATCTTTGATAAGCATGAATATTTATCAAATTCCTTGGTAGTTGAGAAGAGATTTTAATTTTATTGTTTGAAATGGAAGAACCTTGTTAGAAAGCCTAGACCCAAGGCTCAATACTCTCCTTATCACTATGCACCCAATTACACATGGTTTATGAAATGTAGATTTTCTTCAGAGAACGTATGAAACTTTTTAGGCCTTGAAATAAAAGGCCCTTTCGTTCCTAAGTGGCATTGGGGAATATATTTTCATTAAGTGCTTTAAAATACAAATATGTTTCTTTGTTTTACTTTGTGGCATGAAGTTAAGATGATGGCTTGTTGTTATTGATATTGTGACAGGTTGAGTCACAGAGATCCCCTTGAGATTGTCATTTGATGTGCTGAGCATACCAATGAGCCCTCTTATCTGTCCTCTGGGACACCGCATCGCCCAGTCCTGTTGAACCAGAATCTCTGGTCTCCCCCAGCAAAAGCACAAAACTAAGATTACAGCCCACAATAAAGCAACATAGAAACTGAGAACAGCTCAGCTCAGCTCTGGGAAGGCTCAGTTACAGGGATTTGACATAGTTCTCTGGTGCACAGCCCCAATGGGATTAAAACCCTAGATAAATCTGCCTGTCTTTGTATAAAAGTTTTACACAGAGTAAGCTCATAAAATTCCCCTCCTTATCAACAAAAGAGAGATGTACACAGCTGTTCCTTCCCCCCCCCCCCCCCCCAGGGGAAAAATAATTTACATTGG